GTGCGCGAAGGCCGACAAGCGTAGGGCGAGGACCCGTCCATCGCCGCTTGCGGCTTTAATCTTCTATTAATTCTTCCTTATATCACAACAACAAAGGACTGGAGGTCTACACACAGTTCAGTGAAAACATTTTATTTCCTGCTGCCAACCATCAGTGGACGCTGTACACAATGTTTGTTTCTCTTAACTGTACATAAAAAAATAAGTCAATACCATATATTTAAACTAAGACAGGATATGAAGCTAATCCACACCAACATGAGAATCTGGACCCTTAATGAGAAATGAGGACACAATACGTTAGAAGGAGGAAGGTAAAATTCAGCCAAAGGGTTTGTCAGCCGCATCCAGTTGGTGTCATGTGCCAGCCGGACTTGCAGTGTTCGTGCTCTGTAGGTATGCCTGGAAGGGAAGGAACAAGGACATTAGATGAGGCTGGAAGGCTTTGACAGACGTGTGCTTAAGTTCACATGTTTCACAGTAAAAGACAAAAAGAGCAACAGATATAAAGCAGAGCAGAAAGGATTCTGACATCACTGCTACATCCTGCTTCATCCTAAATAAATCAAAATCCAGCTTTTCTTTGGTCACTTAACACTTAGAGAAGGACTGGAGAATGCTTGAAATGCGTCCTATAAAATAACAGCTTATGTGTGGGTTAGAAAGTGACCAACAACAAGCTCAGAACCAGATCAGATCAGCGGGTTTCAGCTCATCAGCGATTAAAACCAGATCATCAGGAGAAAAACAAATCTACATGAACTCTATCTGGACGGTACATCCACACAGATAAATGAGCGTCGATGGGTTTGCTGCCCACCTGCAGGCTCTTGTAGTGTTTGAGGGATTTGCAGTGATTTATTTCCGCCTCCTTGGTTCCACTGAAGAATCGACTGCACACCTTACAGAAGAAACCCGTCTTTGGGACCAAGAACTCCATACCTGTGGACACACACGGGGACAGGAAAGTGAGTTCTGCCAGCTGTTGATGATCAGACAGCTTCACAGCACCAGCAGCGTGTCGTCAACGGTGCTACCAGAGGGTCAAGCTGAAACAGAAAACACTCAGAAACGTGGCACACGTCTTACCGACAGGGTTGCTGGAGTCATACGGAGGGAGGGACTGGTCTGACTTCATGGGCGTCTCCGTCTTTACTGTGGTCTTCCCACTATCCTCTTTGGAGTCGCCGTGGTCTTCACATCTCTCTCCTGGTAGAGACAACACTATCTTTATTGAATGGTCTGCACTTATACAGCGCTTTACAATGTGTTTCTCATTCACCCATTCACACACTAATGGTGACAGAGCTGCTGTACAAGCTGCTGCCTGCCATCAGGAGCAACTTCAGGTTCAGAGTCTTGCCCACGGACACTTGGACTGTGGAGGGGATCGAACCGCCAACCTTACAATTAGAGGACAACCCGCTGTACCACCTGAGCCACGCCCACCCTGCTGACATCAGCTGCTCAGGGTGAGAGAAACACCACCTCTTCTTTCTGTCAGTCTCAGCATCCCAGCTGGAGACCTCCTGACCGTAAACGGACCTCCAAGCAGCTGCTGCCAGCCGGCGCAACAAAGAAAATGAAATGAAGCTCACCTGTTTCTGCAGCTCTTGTCTCTTTGTTCTCCTTGTCGTGAAGCTCCCCCTGTTCCTCCTGTCTGTTCACCGCCTCCTCCTCCTCCTCCTTCGCCTGCTCAGGATTCAGAGGATCGTCTTCTTTCTCATCTTCTAGACGCCCTGCGGCCGCCACACCTGCTGCTGGGCTGTCTGAGGAGGAGCCAGCTGGAGCTGCAGGAGCAGGCGTGGGCAGAGCTTCAGCCTTTGGGGTGCAGTCTGGAGTGGCAGCCAGCGGGTCGTCTGAAGAGCAATGAGGCAAAAATTTTAGGCAAAAACATCTCATCTAGAAACATAATGACCAAACGCTGGGTTGTCAGTGCGAGCCGGTACCTGGCCCATGTGTGGTGTCAGCCTCGGGTTCTTCTGGTGGACATGTTGGCACAGGTGTTTGACGAGGGTCACGTGGTGACACCGCTGGAGGGGGCACTACGGCATCAAGAACCAGACCAGGTGGGATGTTTGGCAAACCGTCTGAAGCCTCGGCTGTAGGCGCACTGACCTGCCCTGAATCTGAGACGGGCTCATCGGACTGTGCCGGAGTCACGGTGGCCTCCACGGGGGCGTCCTGGAGGCCCAAGACAAGAGAAGGAGCAGAACATCACTACTGAAATGCACGGTTACTTATTTTATCAACTGAAACTAAAAGAATGAAATAAAACATGACCAGTGCTTGCGGCAGGTGCACACGTTTGTAAAACACACAGAGACGTTCAGTAGCTCTTTGGGTCTGAACCAACCCGTCATTGTGAAGCCGTCCCCTGAACATCACCTAGATCTTCCCATGCTGTGCGTACGCTGCAGCCTAAACATGTCTCAGATCTGCAGGATTCCTGTATCATGAACATGAAGAGCTGGATGCATCCCCGCTGGTTCAGTAAACACCAACGACGCCTGAACATGTGCAGAAAGGCTCACTGACAGATACCCGATTTGCCCCAGAGTGGACCAACCTTCGAACACGACCGTACAGAAGATGGAACGTACCCCTGAAATGTCCTGTTGGACGGACGTGGACGCGTCCTCTGGTCCCTCTGAGGTTTCCATGGCGACCGCAGAAGGAGAGCGAGGAAGGTCAGTAACGTCTCCGACTTCATCTAAAGTCACAAAGTCGCTCATGTTGAACGGGAACTCGTCACACTCCTCCTCTTCCACCTGATGTCATGACAGAACAAAGAACAGTGGGATGATGATGGAGTCTGAGCTCCAGAGCTTCTACACCTTCTGACGTGTCTTCTCACCATCCTGGCGTCGGTCTCCTCGTTGTACCGCTGCTGCTTGGATCCCTCTGACCTGAAGGACGACCTCGACCCCGACAGGCTCTCCCCGTAGCCTCTCTTCCTCTCCCTTCTCTCCCTTTCCTTCCTCTCCCACTCCTTCCTCTCCCTTTCCTTCCTCTCCTTCCTCTCCGACTCCTTCCTGGCCCACTCCTTCCTGTCCCACTGCTTCCCGTCCCTTCGGACTTTTTCCAGCCACTCTGTCCTCTGTCTGGCCCTGTCCTCCTTCTCCTTGACCCTCCTCTCCCTCCTCTCCCTTTCCTTGGTTTCCTTCTCCTTCTTTGCCTCCCTCTCCTTCCTCTCCTTCTCCTGCTTCTTCAGCCCTTCCTCTTCGTCCACGCTCGGGGGCTGGTCCGTGGCTGGCTCTTTCGTCGCCTCTGACTGGTTTGTTTTCACCTGCGCTGCCTCCTTTCCTCCACTGGGGGGAGCTGCTGTGTTGTTGGGATGGCCGACGGTTTTTGTTCTGCACTCCACCAGCAATGCGTTAACCATGGCTTGAGTGACCTGGTGAAACAGGGAGCAGACAGACGACGTTAAAGCGTTTACACATCAGTTAATGTGGTTCCAACAGACCGACGTTTGGAGGATCTTTACCTTCGGGAGCTCCGGCATGGCTGCCTCCTGGGAAGCTGCTTTGCTGTCAAACGGTTTTGTCTCGTCGCCGGCGCCAGTCTCTTCATTGCCCACTTCCACTGCACCGACGCCTTCTTTCTCTTCTACCGTCTCTGTGACACTTTCAACAGCTGGCGGTTCCCTCGTGTCTGCCGCCACGTCTGCTTCCGGGTCGATATTTGGTGCTGCCAAAGATTCAGAAACTGTGGGCTCCATCTTTTTCAAAACGTCGTCTTTGCTTCCGTTTTCTCCTAAAACGTCATCTTCAGCTGTCTCCTGGGTGCTCGTCTTTTCATCCTTCCTGTCACCTTCTTGATCCATCTCCTCCAGCGGAGGTTCAGATTTCTCTCTGGGCGCCGTCTCCCCGTCGTCTGCAGCTGCTTCGCTGGCTTTGCCATGTGCAGGTGTGTCCTACAAGCAGACACGCAGAGGCACTGAGCAGTAAGCAAACATTCAGATGTCTGACAGAAGTCAAAGCTGGAGGAGTCTGCTGCCAGCTAACAGTGTGACTGACCTCAGAAGAGTCGATGTATGCAGCGATGACTTTAGCCTGTGTGCTGGCTTTGGGGTCGGGCTTGCGGGAGAAGAACAGAGGATTGCTCTGAATGATGCACGGAAACGTCTGGAAGCGTTTGTAGACCGACAGCGCCATGGCTGCAGTCGCCATCTGACAGATGACCTGAGCAGGAAGAGACAACATTACAGGAGCAGCATGTGGAGAAAACGGACCACAGCACACCGGATCAGCGGTGAGCAGCTCAGCAGACCAGCAGCCCTCACCATGTTGTTCAGCACTAGGGTTTTGATGACAGTACCAAAGCGCTGCACCAGCTTCTGGACCTCAGAGGAGCCTGGCGGTGTGTTGGGAACGTTACTGATCACCAGCAGGCTGCTCCAGCCGACCGGAGCTGGACTCTCCTGGAAGATGCAGAGGAACATTCAGTTAGTTATGAACCAGGGAGGAGACAGACCATCTGAGCTGGACACCACAGATCTATGGACTTCCTGCAGAACTAAACGATGTTCAGGAGATTAGTATTTTTTTATTTTTTTTTAACATTTTGTTGTTTTTTTAGTGTCAAATTTAACATAAATAACAAAAATATGTAGAAGACAGCAGTGATGTTCTTAAAGGTCCTACAGTGGTCGTCATATGCAGCCGCTGGAGCTGAGCAACGACTGGAAACAACAGCTACTGACGACTGCCAAGCAGCAGGACCAGGAACGCTGGCAGAACCTTTCAGTCACAGCTCTGTCTATTCATGTGCACTGTTCCTGTTAAATTAACAAAAAGAACTAAGATATACTCACTAATGGATCCACTGATCCCATCAGAAGATTGTAGAGCGCCACCTGTATGATGATCGTGTTTAGCACCAGTCAGTTAAACGTCGTTCAACACAAGGAACAGAAATGACCCACTTCTACAACATCAACCCACAGCGTACAGCAGTAAAGGAGGAAAGAGAAGGAGACCTACCGGCGTGCTGAGGCCCACGTGCTGCTTGAGGAGGACCATCTTCAGTTCAGAGCCGTTGATCTTAGCAGGCATGAAGGTGTGCACTTTTATTATCTCTTGAGCAACCTCCATGTTTGGCACCGACACAAGCACCTGACAGACAGAGGAAATGTTTTAATGCGCTGCTGCAGGTCATCATCTCTGTTCACTTAAATATTCAAATAACAGTGAATCTGTGTTAATAATAACAACAACAAATCAGTACCCACTCAACCATCAGGTTCATTCTGTGGACTAGTTACAGACATGTAGGCACTAGGAATGTCACTGTGTACATGTTTCCTTTGCTTTTCAAGCGACATTATTGAAAAAATAAATAAAAATGAAAAAAATAGTCAAAAAAATAAACAAATAATTATAATAATAAAAAAATAAATGATGATTTTATTATTTGTCTTTATATTTCTACTTCTATCAGCCCTTTCTTTTATGGATTAATGGTAGATTAATACTGCTTTATATTGCCACATTATTTATTTGTCCTTCATTGATTTATTTTAGCAATTCGGTGCTCCCACTGCTCCATACAGTTAGAAACCATGAAACCCGGACCAGACCTCACACCACAGGTACTAACTTTTCCTATCTGCGTTGCCATGACGATGTCGGAGGGAGTCCCAAAAGGCTGGAGCAGCTCGACAACGTCGCCGTCCGACCAGCCGCTCTCAGGGAGTCCAGTGATCAGAACCAGGCCCTTCTGCAGGAGACATGAAACACACAGCTAGATAGACGAACAGGTAGGGTTCTCCACAGACCTGATTCATCCCCCTGGGACAATACAGACATTAGTCATGTTTAATGTTTTACATCTGTGACACAGCAGAGTTACAGGACATGCTGAATGAAAGAGGCATCAGTGAGCAGATCACGTACCTCTTCAGACGTCTTCTGGTCAGCCTCAGCTTCTACCGGCTGGAGGGAGCCGGTGGGCACATCTGGAAAAATCAAATCATGTTTTCAACTTGACCAGCCAGTAAAAATACCGACCCAAGAACTCCATCTAAAGCCTGAGCAGCAGTGATAATACGTACACGGCTGCCAGCTCATCAGGTACAGCTGACTACAATGAGTCCAGTTCCTGTTATTATTTCATGACTGAAACATATCAACCACTTTCACATTTTATTGTCACTGGTGCTAATTTCCCGCCCTAGTTTCCTGCCTATGGCTGATTCTGACTGCTTCCATCGGTGGTTGTTGTGGAGGTTGCATACCAGCGTTGTTCCCGGCTGCACCTTTGTCCTGGCCCACCACTGGTCTGCTGTGAAGAACAGGAATGTGAGAAGCTGAGTGAGGCCAGAGAGGGTTTGAAACTGGAAGAGTGAGCATCCACTTTACAGGATTAAAACTGTCACGTACCTGTTGTTGGCTTCAGAAGACGGGCCTGCTTCAAGTTTCTGTGAGAAAGGAGGACATGTATACGCTCAGAGAATGTACACCAGGTGGCGATATAAGACTTACACACCAGGGGAAAAGGTAAATTGATTATTTGTAGGTGCTCTAAAGGTTTTCTTCTACACATCGACAGGGTTCTCTACGGCGGCAAATGACGTGCACGTACACAAACGAGTTGCATATAGAGGCCTCTAGGGGCAGCAGTGAGCTGTTCACACGAGAGGCAGACGACGGTGAGCAACACAGGTAACGTTAGTCGATGGAAAAGGTGTGTTTTCTCTGGTGTCCCTGGATAAACATGAATTCCAGAGAACACAGGGAGACGTCAGTGAAACAGTGACTGAAAGCTAAAGACCTAAACGCTGCCCCCTAGAGGCCTGGGGTACTTCTGTTGTGTGACTGGATCCATCCATCATCTCTACACCTTAATCCTCAGTAGGGTCATGGGGGGTGGAGCCGATCCCAGCTGACACCCTGGACAGGTGGCTTGTGTGACTGGATGTGCAGCGTTTTCTTTTTGCAGCTCGTTTGTGTTTATGCACGCCATTCGCTGCTGTAGTTTCTGATGCCACATGCTTGTACCTTGGCTACTGAAGCTGTGAGTTCCTGCTCTCTGATGTGGAGGTTTGTGGAGGTAGCCAGAGCCTGGGCGTCCTCAGCCTTCACCATGCAGACAGACGCCTGTAGCAGGGGAGGTTGCAAAGCGACAGCGTAAAACAGAAAGAACGTCTGGTGGCCGTTTGTGAGATGAATCATTCATAGATTAATATATCCACAGCTGCTGTTGTGTCATGACTCCAGACTGGCAGAATTAACACCTGCAGGGTTTGTCGTATTATTCTGCTTCAAAAATCAAACCTGCGGTAAATCTCAGGAGTCAGACTTCTTGCCAAACGCATCAACGACCCTGATGCTTCACCCACCTTCTGTCCTTGGCCCTTCTCGGTCTCCTCCTCTGAGCACGGCATGAGGATCACGTTGTTGATCTTGCCAAAGGATCCGACCAAGTCAGTGACTTCCTGTTCCGAGGCATCCTTGGGGATGCCGGTCAGGTACACCAGACGATCTGCGATAGACGAGTCCTGAGAAGCTGGAGTCACGACTTTCTTCTTCTTCTTAGCAGGTGGAGGTTTGGCAGACTGGAAACCAGCAACATGGGTTTTAGTTCAGGTTTGTTGAAATGTTGACAAGTGTAATACCAGTGTGGTTGAGAAAACATCCAAATAACTAAAAACAAACAGTTGCTAACAAGCAGTCAAGCCCAGCTATTAGAACTAAATCATTTGTGGTCTGTGCCTCCTGCAGCTTCACAAACATAAACACTGGAAGCACCTACAGCGGCGAATGATCCACGGCACATCAGACATTCAGCCAGGTTTGGGGATCTTATTTATAACTATACTTAAAGAGAGGTCAACAGCACGTACTTTAGTAACGGGGCAAGAAAAGCTCAGTGATAGAAATCTACCATCACCCTAAAAACTCCTGAGCATCAGCGTTCGATGTTGAGAATTTATTTCAGTGAAAACAGCTGCTCCATGCCTGAACACCACCGACGTCACTGTTGCTCCCTGAAACCTCGATATTCCCAGAGAGCATGTACATCAACAAAGCTCCCGACAACTTTGAGGACGCTTTAACAAGACTGAAACCTTGGTGTTCTGGGGTAGGGGCGTCAAAACACACGGCCGATATGTGTGGTTGAGTTTCTCTTTGTGCTCTTGATAAACAAACACATGTTCAGGAGTAATGACACTGAACATAACACGACACGGCGTGTAATGATCTGAGCCTGAGGTCAGTCCAGACTCTGGTCCTCTGTGTGAAGGGTTTGGTGGCTAAAGCAGCCGGTGCACTCACCATCTTAGCTGTCTTGGCTCCAGGCTTCATCACGCCCTTGAAGCTCTTGTTGGAGAGCTGCGGTGGTCCGTGTTTGACGCGATGACCTGGGGCGGATGGCAGCTGACGTCGCTTGCCGTCAGCAGGGCGCTTGGCTAAATCAACACGTGGGCGCTTCACACAGCCGCGAGCGAAGCCCCCTGAAGATGACCAGGAATCAGAGGACGCCAGGCAGAAGGGGAAAAGAAATGAAGAAACATTCACAGATGAGCCCTTTGCAGATGTGGGATGCACACCACTGCTGGCTTCATCCGTCTGTTCAGGTGATACAGGACACATGGTTCAGGTGGTAGATGACCACAGTAATAACAGACATGTAAACAGCCCTGGTCACATGCAGACCAGTGATGAGGGGACGCATCAGGTAAGTGCAGCGTCAACGGATCAGTTTCAGACAGGAAGTCCCTCCACCTCCCTGTGCTTCCTGTTTCAAAACATAAAATACCCCCCAAAAAACAAAACCATCCACATCGACCAACCTGATGGTTCCCTGTCCGTCCTCTCAGGCCACTGCTCTCTGGACGACGGGGAGGCTCGGTTCGGGTAAGTGGGGCTGTGGGAGCCGGAGGGGCGGGGCTCAAACCGACGGCCGCGTTCTTCGTAGGAAACATGGAGAGGGTGAGGTTAGACGTGAATATCTGACACTGCACAGCAGATTCTGTCATATTTCCGGAAGACCTGTCATAAATGTGTAACAGAACCACGAGGCATGCGTTTCAATCATTCTGTTACAGAACATTAGAGCTGTAGGAATCCCATAATAACCCATAATGTAAGGTCCTTACATTCAGCATTATCTCCTACCCATACCCCATAAACCAAGGGCTGGAAATTAACTCGAATTAACTGTATCATTAAATCCAATAATAAGCTCTGAGGGTGAATACTCAACAGTTTTCAGCCTCCTGCCTAACCTGTAGTCCAGGGGTGCCCAGTCCTGGTCCTCAAGAGCCCGTATCCTGCATGTTTTAGATGTTTCCTTCTTCCAACACACCTGATTCACATGATCAGGATGGTTATCAGGCTTCTGCAGAGCTGGATGATGAGCTGATCATTAGAATCAGGTGTGTTGGAAGAAGGAAACATCTAAAACATGCAGGATACGGGCTCTCGAGGACCAGGACTGGGCACCCCTGCTGTAGTCTAATATGTAGTCTAGCCTCTAGTCTAACCTGTAGTCTAACCTCTAGTCTAGCCTCTAGTCTAGCCTCTAGTCTAGCCTCTAGTCTTACCTCTAGTCTAGCCTCTAGTCTCCTGCCTAACCTCCAGCGTCCAGCCTACCTGTGTAATGCCGGTGTCGTGGGTGGCTGTGGGGGGAGTAAGGCCTCCCATGGGGCCTGTGGGGGTGGGCGTCCACCCTGTGTTTGCCTCCTGGAGGACTCGGGGTCGGGGAACGAGAGAGGGATCGAGACGTGGAATGCAGCGAGGAGCGATCCTTGGGGTTCCACAGAGCCCGGCTGCCATAGCGTCCGCTCCGGCTGCAGACAGACAACGTGCAGGTGGAACAAACAGAAAGACTTCAGGAAGACCACAAGGCAGCCTGAAGGCCAACATCTGGACAGATGAAAGCTGGTTTTCCTTCCTGGACTGCCTGAGCGACACAGCTGGTTCATGAAAACATCTATTCTGAATAGATTAATTTAGGACTACTATACTTTTTACACACCTACTTTCTTGGATACATCAGGATTAATAAATTTATTCAAAAATATCTTCTAGTGCATAACTAAGTAAACTGATTCATAAGATGTGTGTCAGGTTGACTCTATGTGTGCACAGTCAGGATATCTGAACCATTTGGGACGAGTCAGCTGGAAGGAGTGACCAGCTGCTGATCTCAAAATTAAAAAATAACGAAAGTTAGAAATGGTAGAAGAACTGACCTTGGTAGATTTGGCTTCCAGCTAGGGTACCTTAAGAGACACACACATATACACACCCGTTAGTACACAACTCAGCATCTTCTTGCTCCTAAAGTTGTATTAAAACAGCTTTACCAAACACCAAGCCGACTGTTCTGAGAACGTAACACCCGACAGACAACCATTCCCCCGTTAACACATTCATCAGGACGGTGAAGCATCTGTCAAGCTGCGGACGACGACATTTCTTCCTCAGGATACGGTGGACTTAACTTAAATTCAGGTTTACAGAAGAGGCTAATTAATACATTGGTTGGTCAATATTGGCGAGATATAGCGGCAGTAACACATATTACAGTGGTGACTCCATAATCGACCCTTAACAATCCTAAACCTGCTATCTGACAGGTTTTTAGGAAAAACCACCAGAACCCATAAAAACAGCCTTAACATAGCGACAGCCTTGGATTGTGACTCCGACATGACATTTAATGTCACCAATCAGGATGACGGCGTATTATCTGACT